CTCTATGAACAGTCTGCTAATTCACAGTGCTACACACACACATGCTTGCAGGAAGCATTTTTAGAGTGAGGATGCTTACATGGTATTTTTACATGGGCCATTTTGACGAGAGAGGAACCTATCTGCCAGAAGTCCCCATCAGACACTTAAATTACATGGTGATCTGATCATATTCTTGCATGAGTGGTCTCATTTGGGACAGTCACCCCTCTGTATGAATGAGACTAAGTAAAAATATAATTTCAGCTCTGCATACAGCCCATAGATCTCACAGTAGCCTCACTTTTCTAGGAATGTTGCTTCAGGCATGGAATATATGACCCAAAAAGAAAGGAAGAAGTTTAAAAGTCGAATGTGTTTCCTAACTTTGCCTATTCGTTCCTTCTCTCTGTGAAAGATTTAAAGCCCTGGTGATTTCTTCAAGCCTTGCTCTGATTGTAAATGACACTCCACTGGGAAACAAATATTTGAGACCAGCCGCAATTAACCAGCATAGCTCAAATACCAAACAACAGATACTCAATGAACTGTCTGTGATTGAACCATACAGGGAAAAACAATGACAGAGTAATTCAAGGAAATTAGGCATTCTGCAAGCAGAAAGTATCACAGCTAATTATTCACCATAAATTATTTTCTTCTGCTCTAGCAGCACCACTGGTGAGAGTTGGGAATCATTTGGGAAGGAAGGATCTACCAACCAACCACTTCCATGTTGTACTGTCACAAATGTTGCTACATATCTGCACTGCACGCACAGGTTTCGGGAGGCTTTCCTTCCTCCTGTAATATGTCTTGACCCATTGGCTTGTAGTTCAAGGTTATCAATGGCTACAGTTTAAGGACGTCCAGGATCAGAGAGAAAGTAACTTAACTTTCTTACAGGCACTGTCATATTACACCCCCCCACCCTGGGCAGAGGACAGAGGATGAGGGGTGGGGGGGCTTGTGATATTTAAGTGATGGAGTGTGGGGGGCTCAGGGCAGGAGGTTGGGGTATGTGTGTGTATGTTGGGGGTGGGGGTTCCAGGAGTCTGAGCGCGGGATGTTGGAGGTGCAGGAATCAAGGCAGGGGGAGCGTGGAGCTGGCTGGGGCAGCGGGGACTGTGCTACCAGCCACCAGAGCACTGGGCTGGCAAGCTCAGTGGGGACTGCTTTGACCGAGCTTTGGAGCTGGAGTCTGGGGGAACTGTTGGGTCGGGCCCACCTGTGTACAGTGGCCAGCAACATCCACAGTCCCACCCTGCCACTCTCTCGCCAGTGCCCTGCACTTACTTTCACCTTGGCCCAGGCTATAACGATGCAAGCTGCATTCCGTCTCATTACATGCTCATTCACTTGACTTCAATAGCCTTCTGGTGGAAGCTGCTTTGGTCAGTGATCTCTTTGGCACAGCTGCATTACTGCTCTGTTCCTAGCAGTCACACAGTGCTAGTTATTGCTTGCTTTGGAAGCACGAAATCTTAACACACACACAGCTTTCCACCTGTAATTTAAATTAAGACCAATTCTTTAATTTACTGGGATATATCCTCAATAGACCAGAGTAATAGATGTATCCTCAACAGACCAGGGGGCTGGACTTGATGGCCTTCTGAGGTCTCTTCCAGCTCTATGGTTCTATGAAATGTTATGCAGCTTCCTACTCTGAGAAGCCAATATGCCCCCATCACAGATATTCTTCCCTCGTAAAGGGATGAACTGCACAGCTTGATAGGTTCTCTCCTCCTCCACCACCTTTAACTTCTGCGATTCGGTTCCAGCTAGATGGCTTGGTTTATGCTTTTATTTCATTAGCCCCATAGAAGAAAAAGGAGATGTTATAAAGCTAATAACTATGACAGACTCCCAAGTGGAGTTAAATATGAAGTCATTCATAAGCAGTTCAAAAATATTTTTCTAATTTATGGCCATCCTTCTACAAAAACTGAAGCTATGTTTACATTTAGGGCACATCTACACTACATGTCAGAGCAATGGGAAGTGATTGTTCGGGGGGGGGGTTGTTGATTGATTGAGTCTAGTACAGACATGATAAATCAATTGCCGAGTACTCTCGTATCAACTCTGGTACTCTGTCAGAACAAGAAATATAAGCAGAGTCGATGGGAAAGCACCTGCCATTGACCCGTACAGTGAAGACACCATGGCAAGTAGATATAAGTATGCCGACTTGTTTCGCAACTTAGGTCGATGGCCTGCAGTAGTGTAGATCAGGCTTGAAACTGCTACAGCAGCACCAGGTCAGCACTGCAGCTGCATCGCTCTTCCACTTCACTGCAGGCACTTCCCATTGCAAGCAGAGGGGTTCTGTCGCTGTAGTTAGCCCACCTCTCTGAGAGGTGGTAGCTAGGATGAGGGAAGACTTCCCCATTGACCTAGCGCATCTACACCAGAGGGTTTTCACACCCTGAGCAACATTGCTGGATTCACTTAACTTTTTAGTGTAGCCTGGCCTTACACATGTACGGAAGTTCACACGCTATTAGGAGTCCTGCTGACTTGCAATGAGACTTAAGACTGGTGCACATGGACAACTGATGTGTGGCAAGCTGGAGTGCGAATCTACCCCACATTAGCCTGCCATGAACTGACTGGCCACGTGAACCCTGCTGATGCCCCCTCACAGTTTGTCAATGGGGTCTGATCTAGTCCTCTCAGAAATGGCTACATCAAAGCACATTAAACTGCTACTGAATGTCAGCAGAGTTCATGCAAACGGTCTATGGCAAGCTGGCAGACTAGGTTTGGCCTGCAGGCCGGTATTTGCCCACCCCTACCTTAGGCCCTTAAGTATATAAGGCACATGTTCAAAGGATTTATGAACTTATGAAGCTCTTACCCCTTAGAGCCATAGTGTCCAACACGCTAGCCACTAGGCACATGTGGCTATTTGGCCGGTTGAATGTGGCTAGTTCGCTATAGCAGTAGCTACTATACTGCTTCAGACCTGGTTGAACACCACAGCCTTAGAGAGTCCATCTGTCACACCAAGATCCCTGCCCTCTAATGAACATGAGACCATACGACCAGCCATACTGGGTCAGTCCAAAAGTCCACCCAGCCCGGTACCCTGTCTGCTGACAATGGCCAATGCCAGGTGTCCCAGAGGGAGTGAATCGAACAGGCAATGATCAAGCGATCTCTCTCCTGCCATCCGTCTCCACCCTCTGGCAAACAGAGGCTGGGGACACCATTCCTTCCCCATCCTGGCTAATAGCCATTTATGGACTTAACCTCCATGAATTTATCTAGTTCTCTTTTAAACCCTGTTCTAGTCCGAGCCTAAACAACCTCCTCAGGCAAGGAGTTCCACAGATTCACTATGCGCTGTGTGAAGAAGAACTTCCTTTTATTTGTTTTAAACCTGCTGCCCATTAGTTTCATTTGGTGGCCCCTAGTTCTTATATTATGGGAACAAGTAAATAACTTTTCCTTATTCACTTTCTCCACACCACTCATGATTTTATAAACCTCTATCATAGCCCCCATTAGTCTCTTCTTTTCCAAGCTGAAAAGTCCCAGTCTCTTTAATCTCTCCTCATATGGGACCCATTCCAAACCCCTCATCATTTTAGTTGTCCTTCTCTGAACCTTTCCTAATGCCAGTATAACTTTTTTGAGATGAGGAGACCACATCTGTACACAGTACATGATGTGCAAACTGCAAGCAGACCTCTCGCATGACAATGATAAATAAAATAATATTTGCCAGGAGAGAAAAAATGGCTGGAATACAGAAAAGAGGTTGATCCACAGAAAAACAGGTTTTCTTTCACAAACGACACTCATTAGCAAACCAAAAGAGAAAAATGACCCCTGTCCAGCTATGAAAGGGTTAACACTTTTAAAAGCAGAAATGCTGTCAGCATATCCCAAAATTCAAGCACCTGAGAGGAGTAATGTGAAAGCTTATTTTGCAATTATCAGAGTAATTTTCTCTCCTTATTGTCTCTGAGCCATAAGGATTTCTAAAATTATGCAGAAGGATTTCATTCATTATAATAATCAAATGAAATATTCAAATCAATATTAAATCAATGAATCTTTTTGCATGCAGCATACTGCTCCCTTTGCTCTAACGGGCTATTACATTCAAAACTGCCCTGGCACAAAAAGCCCATCCAGTTTTGCACTTCAGTGCCATCTTAATCCCAATCTGTACAGCGTTATCCTTGTATTTGTCCTCTAAGCATGACTGGATTCAAACAGCAGCAGTGATGAACAAGCAAAGAGCTTTAAAAACAGAAGTTTAACTTCAGACTCCTAAGTTTATATTTAAGTTCCTGTATATGTGTCATGACCATGAGGGATGGCCAGCAGCCTGGGGACTAAAGGGTTAACTGTACCTAGCCAGGTAGAGTCAGCCAGTAGAAACGTAGGTAGGAAGTTCAAACTGGGACAAAGGAATTTTTGGGTTTTTCCCTCCTTTGTCCCTGGGCAGTTGACTCTCCAGATGCTGAGGGGGACAGACAACATGTTCCTCTCCAAGAAAACATGTCCCTCTTCACTATCTGTAAGTAGGGTAAAGTTTAGATAAATCCGTTGGGTTTTATTGTTTTATGGTTTGGGAATGGGAATCTGATGTCTGTGCATTTAAAAATGGGTTTTGTTCTCCTTTGTAACTAAGTTTTTGGCCCATGGGAGTCCCCCATGAGTATATTAATTGGTGACTTTTCCATCTAGTCGTTATGCTTGTAACAGGAGTATTGTGGTGATAATAAAAGTTCTTTCTTTTTTATTTACCTGGTATTGGTGAATCTGTGTGTCCTGGTTTTACTTTAGGACTGTGATTTCCCAAGTGATCTCTTCCCCGGTTTTCTTACCGTTACTTGGGTGGTGGCAGCAGATTTTTATTGCCAAAATCTAGGTTTTTAGGATTTTGGGGGGGAAGTTTTATACCAAAGCCTGGAAAGATAAGGTTTTGGGGTACTTTTGCGGGCCCCCACTTCTGCATTCATCGTGCCAGAGTGGGGAATCAGCCCTAACCATATGCAATTCCCTCTCCCCCTCAAAAAAGTGCCAAATACTCAGCATCATTCATTTACTTCAGTGGTAGCCACTACATGATCCCCCCTTTGGAAAGCAGGTCACGTATTCGGGAACCTAACTTCAGACCCTCCTATTCTTGAAAAATTTCTTGCTGACTGCAGTTTGGAGCGCACATTATAACAAACTTTTCCACAGCATTGGAGGATTAGGCAGACACCAAAGTAACAGAACTGACACTTTTTAAAAGAAGTTATAGCCCACTGTAAAAATGTCAAACCCAATGGAGCATGGGAGTATTTCTTACCATGATTGGGACCCCGATGTCTGGCCACAAGAGGTCTTCAGACGGAAGCTTGGGGGAGTTCCACACTACTACAACTTTATTTAAGTAAGGGAGCCCATTGAGTCTCTCTAGGGAGTTCATTAAGACTTCCTCTCGCTCATAGGTTAACATGACTACTGTGAACTGCTCCCTTGGGACATTGCCACCCAAGGCGACCCAAGAAACTTGGCTTCGGAAGGTAAAACGGGATCAAAAGGTGTGTGGGGAAAGAGGTGGAAAGGTCCCGGGGCGGAGTTCCAATTCCTGTAAATATCCATTGCGGTGAGAGTAAAATTGCGAAGGTATTTGGGAGAGGCATAGGGTGGCTCCGTCTCCACCGGCCCCAAGTCTAAGTCACCATTGTCGGCCATGTTGGGGTCAGTACCGGCAGCTTTGCCAGAGCGGTGGGGAATCTCCACTGCAGTTTCTTCTCGAATAGGAGCAGCCGGGATTTGAATTCGAGTCCTTATGATCGCTAAGACTGTGCTGAACACATTGTCCGAGGTGGAGAAGTAAGTCTCCCACAAGAAGCGCCCCTGCCTCCTCATGGCAAGGAGATCGTTGTCAGAAATGCTTCTCAGAAGAAAGTGCACTTCTGTGATACGTGGCTTTGGTATGATTAAGGCTGCCTCATTCCACCGGATCACCTCATGATAGGGCAGCTGAACTTGCTCTCCAAGAATCACTGGAATGGCTCCAACTTCCAGAGCCTCGAAGAGTCTCATGGCACACCCAGCAGAGATCAATAGATGGGTGTCCCCCGGTGTGATTATCAGTGCAAACGTAGATAGCTTCAGTAGCTCTAATCGGTCATCCCTTTCTCCACAAAGAGCCCACTCAGTGGGCAGACTCGCCTTCGGCTGGTTCTTACAAGTGAATTCCACCAAGACAAAGTCCAACTTACTGTCTTGGACAGCTTTCAGGGTGGTAATGATCCTGTCATCATAGTCAGCTGGGGCATTGCCTTCAATTTCCTCTTCAAACGAACGAACCTCTTGCAAGCTGGAGCGAAGAGACTCTATTTTCTCTCCCTGGAAACTGAATAGGTACTTTCGCTTAACTGGCACCTGGGGTGGGATCTCTAGGAAGTTGGGTTCAGACATCGCGTGGACTAGAGGCGATACCACGATATCAAACCCTGGCCGATACTGTAGGTCATAAAACGTGGACTGGGCAATCATGGCACGCCCGGTGCTGATGTTGTAGATGAAGTTTTGAGTTTCCGATTTCCTCGATAAGTTAATGATGAGATGGTTGTGTCCATCCGTCCTCCAATATGGCAAAGAGTGCAACTGTTGCTGTAGCTCAGTAGCTTTTGGCATTATGGGCTCTTGCATTTCCCCCACTAGAATTACATACACACAAGCAATGTTTGCATTTTCAGTAACGTACACATTAGTTCTGACGGTTGCCTCAAAGGCTTGCTTAATTAACGGGTCTAAGGAGCTACCAAAAGGGTACTGATCGCTGTTGTAGACATACACGGGGAAGCCAGATGTCAGTGGGCAGCGTGAGTAGTCAAAGCAGTTGTGAAGTCGGCAGTTCCGGTTGGATTTTGGCAAAGGCAAGTTAGCTTCGTCTTTGTCTGGCAGCAGCCGGATTGGCAAGGAGAGTTTTGGCTGGTTCTGAGCCATCAGTTCTTTGTAGGAATGCTCAGTCTGGCTGATGACGTTCTTCAGCTGCAGGAGATCTTGCTTGGCATTCTCTATGCTCTTCTTGCAGGCTTCGATCTTCAGGTTCAACTTGGCGATCTCGCTGTTGAGCTCCTGCCGCTTGGCCTCCAGCTGGAGCAGCTCCTCACTTACCGACTCCCGGATGCGGCACAGGTCCTGGACATGCTTCACCTCACACAGCTCGTTTCCCGTGCGGGGGCCGAAGATGCGTTTGCCGGCATCATCCGCGTCATCAATGGTGGTTAAGTAGTAGTGGGCGATGAGGGGGAAGAAGACAAGGATGATGAACAGGGTAAAGCTAAGCCAGGTGAGCCGGATTCGACTGGACCATCGCAACACCCAGGGTTGGCCGCCATTCCCCACTCCCCCATTCCGCAACATGGTATACCCAGTCATGAGTCAGAGTCGGTGCGCGCCCAATCACGTTGGATCAGTAGCCATCACCAAAACAGTGCTCTAAACAAGTCTCTAAAAGAAAATGTTATTGTGCCTGCTTTATAAGGAGCCAATAGAATGGAAATTTCATCTTCTTGCCGCGAGGATGGCTGCCTTCTGCCTTTTTGGTGCAAATGCAACTTTTGATCCAATTAGAATCAAACATCAAACAACCCCCCCTTGATCTCCGGTTAGCTAGCTGTTGCTAACAGTGTGGTGGTGTTGCCATGGCAACAAAAGCACAATGGGATCCAGTCGACCTCTTATCACTGCTCTTGACATCCTGCATTGCCATCGAATAAATACGCAGAATCAACGGCCACAGTTGAAAAGCGAGCTGGAAGAGACTTGGATAAGTGTCAGTCTCTCTCATCACCTCTGTGCGGTCGATATTCAGCCATGCCTACAAAAGAACAATAGAGTCAGACAAGGCAAAATGACATCTTAGTAAGCTATAAAACAAAGAAACATTTACTAGAAGCATCTATAGAGTCAAAAACATAAGCATTCTGATTCACTTTTACTTTATTACTCTACGTGATGTTATCTGATTGAAGTATGACCATACAGATCACTGTTGCAACCACTGTTCTATATTTGCCACAAACAAAACATGGCACGTAAGAGGTCTACAAAAAGGTTATCATTTCTGGTTCTAATTATGTGATTTGTATGCACCTGTCCTTATTGTATCTGAAGATATAAATACTAGTGATGTACCTACACTGAAAATGTTTGCTCCTGGAGTAACACCCACAATGTATTTAGCCAGCATGTCTCGGAGGGACTGTTCAAAGTAAGTGGCTCATCAAGAAGTACTTCACTGACAGTGGTCCATGGGAGATGCCAATCTAACACTGAATGGACTTTCCCTGTGGATGCTCCATCTGAACTATAGGAAATGGACAGGTGACTTGCCCATGTGATTCCATAATCCACCTTCACCTGTAATTTTCCACAGAATGAACAATGGGATTCCCCCTACATGGGAAACTATAAAAGGCCCTGGGAACACCAGCATTTTGCCTCTTTTCTGCTCTGGGCTCTTCCCTGTTCAAGCCTCTGGGCTATGGATTTATACTAATGGGAGCATTCTAACAAAGAAGCCCTTCCAATTAAATCGGAAGCAACCAACTACTCGACTTATGCCAGCAGTTCAAATCATCACTGCTACCTGCCCAAATCAAACATTTTACAATTATTGCATGTATTTGATTCCTTAAAGCAGTCTTAACTCTCACTTTTCTCTCTCTCTCTCTCTCTCTTTCTTTCCCTTATACATTGAATAGTAACACAGAGGTAGATGTGTTAGTCTAATCTTGCTAAAACAAAAGGAAAAACTATGTAGCACTTTAAAGACTAACAACGTGACCCCACATTCTGTACTAAATCTGATTTGTCAGTTTAATAATGTTCACTTTTTCATTGTATTCCTTTGGTATATATGGTCATGCCAATTCTCTTCCAGAATATGATATGAGGAAGTGGGTCTGGCCCACGAAAGCTCATCACCTAATAAACCATCTTGCTAGTCTTTAAAGTGCTACATAGTTGTTCCTTTTGTTTCCCTTATGCATAAACCTTTAAATTTTAGCTACTAAAGGCTTGGAAACAGCACAATTTTTTAGTAGGATCTGAGTTATATTTTGACAGGGGGTGTGTAGCAGGTACTTTGGGATCAGAAGAACCTGTTACATGATGCAGCTGGTTGTAAAGAACCACTCAGATCTGAAGCCAGAGTTTTTGGAGGGGATATAAAGACTGGACTGCCTCAGGAAACTGCTTTTATGACTTCTTGTCTGCCAGGGTGGCGAGACAAAAGTTACTTCCGTGGCTGGTTTGGTATATCTAACGGGGGAATAGCCACCAGTCTTTTGGGGTATATTTTAGTGTATTCTCAGCAGTGTGACCTGAATTGGTATTCTCAGTTGTGACCCACGAAGGCCCGGTTGTAGTGCAGTACTTACAAACCCGAGGAACTAACACGATTAATTAGACACAGGGGACAGTTGTATCTAAAGACGTCTTAAAAACCCGTGTGGTCCAGCAATCAGAACAGAGACTAGCAGTCAATAAATCTGATTTTCTACTCTTTCCTCTGCCACTGACTCGCTGAGATACACTGGACAAATCACTTAAACTTTGCGTGCCTCAGTTTTCCACCTGTAAAATGGAGATATTCATAACTCCCCATCTTTTTATGGCATGTTGTGACCCTTAGATAAATGGTACTATAGAATTACAAAGTATTACTACTACAAAATATTTGAGTTAAAACATCTCATTCGAGTCTTGGGCCCCATTCTGAATTAAGAACTGATCATCTACATTTGCAAGAAGGATTTGCAATTTGGACAAGCCACACATGAGGGGACTAGCTTTATGTGGCCAGTCTAATTTTACTTATAACAAATCTAAGCATGACTATATACCTCCAATTTGCTGCACTGGCAATCTCCTCCTTTATCTACCTTTTCTCTGAATTTATTTGGCCTTATAAAACAAGCCACAGAGGTGGGAAATTAAATAATCGAGTTGTATTTTCTATAGAGGATGAACATGATGATGCTCTGCATGAAGAGTGTTATTTGTCATAAGTAGCAAATATACCACAAAAAGACATGATCATGAGTATGAGGATCAGAAAGACATCTATATTGAATAATTGATTTGCTAGTCACCTTTCGTGTAAAAAGGGCACATTTTCTGCCTGTGGTATCTTATTATATAGATCTTACCAAACTCAGTTAATCAAAGGGACAGCACACACACCCTTGATGAAATGCTAATTTCCACTAATATGAATTGGTCCCAAGATACACAGTTTAGAAACCAGTGAAAACAAATCTTACACAATTACCTAAATAAGGGGAACATTTGATATGTTCCTCTTGGAATTCCCAAAATAAAAGTAGGAGCAAGCCAAATAGAAACCATAGCTGGCACCAAGTAGAGAAAGCAGATACCAATAAGTAGACACACAAAAGACGTGCCACCTTTTTGTTCTGTGTTTGTACAGTGCCTAGCACAATCAGGTTTGGGTCTGTGACAAGGTCTCTGAGGTAAAACCACAATGCAAATAAATAAAGAATACGACATCACTTTCACAAACTGCTTTCTCACAGGCATGTGATGGCCGTTATAAAAATGCGACTGAGCCAAGTTTAGGGAGTTGCACACCAACCCGCATAGCGTGAATTAGAATCTTACAGTCTTTGCTACTAAGTACAGTCACTATAGAAGTTGCTGCGACAACAGACAAAATGTTACAATACTCTACGTGCCTGTGCTGAAGATGAGCAACTATATAAATCCATGGTACGCCCACAGCTTGAATACTGCGCACCAATGAGGTCTCCTCATCTCAAAAAAGATATACTGGCATTAGAAAAGGTTCAGAGAAGAGCTACTAAAATGATGAGGGGTTTGGAACAGGTCCCATATGAAGAGAGATTAAAGAGACTGGGACTTTTCAGCTTGGAAAAGAAGAGATTAATGGGGGCTATGATAGAGGTCTATAAAATCATGAGTGGTGTGGAGAGGGCTGATAAAGAAAAGTTATTTATTAGTTCCCATAATAGAAGAACTAGAGGACACCAAATGAAATTAATGGGTAGCAGGTTTAAAACTAATAAAAGAAAGTTCTTCACACAGCGCGTAGTCAGCCTGTGGAACTCCTTGCCAGAGGAGGCTGTGAAGGCTAGGACTATAATAGAGTTTAAAGAGAAGCTAGATAATTTCATGGAGGTTAGGTCCATAAAAGGCTATTAGCCAGGGGATAAAATGGTGTCCTTGGCCTCTGTCTGTCAGAGGCTGGAGAGGGCAGGAGATAAATCACTTGATCGTTGTCTTCGGTCCACCCTCTCAGGGGCACCTGGTGCTGGCCACTGTCGGCAGACAGGATACTGGGCTGGATGGACCTTGGGTCTGTGGCCATTCTTATGTTCTTAACTAATCTCTCTCTGGGACCCTTTAAAACGCCAGCACCTTTGTGGGTATGTAATGAAGAAATAAAGGCACAAGGAGAGCTTGCCCCAAAACTGATATGTGAAAACCGACCGAGGTGATGAGCAGTGTTTCCTGCACAGGCCCGTCCGCCTCCTCCGCAGAGCCGTGCAGTGGTTGCTCAGCTGCTCTGAGGCGGGGCCACGTGGCAGGTGGTTGCCCCGCCCCAGGAGCGGCAGAGCACCATGTGGCTCTGGCCTTAGCTTCAGCCCTTCCCTGGCACCGACAGCTGAGGCCACATGCTGGGGGACCAGGGCCGCTCCGACAGCTGAGGCCACATGCTGGGGGACCAGGGCCGCTCCGACAGCTGAGGCCACATGCTGGGGGACCAGGGCCGCTCCGACAGCTGAGGCCACATGCTGGGGGACCAGGGCCGCTCCGACAGCTGAGGCCACATGCTGGGGGACCAGGGCCGCTCCGACAGCTGAGGCCACATGCTGGGGGACCAGGGCCGCTCCGACAGCTGAGGCCACATGCTGGGGGACCAGGGCCGCTCCGACAGCTGAGGCCACATGCTGGGGGACCAGGGCCGCTCCGACAGCTGGGGCCACATGCTGGGGGGCCACTATCAGCTAGGGCCGCATAGTAGCTTCCCAACTGCTCCCTGAGTGGGCTGCATGGTGGCTGCCCAAAGCTGGAGCCAGGCTGTGGTGCGGCTGCTCCTGGGTCTCCCTGAATCTCTCTTCCCTCCCCCCATAGCTCTCTTTTTGCCCCTCAGAGTCCCCGGCCTCCCCCAACGCTCTGTCCCCCTCCCCCTATGTCAGTGCCCCACCCCCAGCACCCCACTCCCTACAAATCCTGGGCACTGGCAGCAGCTTCCCTCTGGCCCAGGCAGGGACTCACAGCCAGACCCATGAGGAGCACCCTGGGGTAGTCCCTGCCCTGCACGCAGGCTGCCCTGGGAGTAGCACTCGGCGGGGTGGGGGGGTACATCTCACCTTCTCCCCATGAGGTGGGGGGTGCTACCTGAGAGAGTCTCTTGGGGAGCAGCACCACTGGTGACACCCATCCGAACTTGAACCCGTGACCTCGCTGTTGGCGCACAAGACCAAACTCACCCCGTTCCTGGCTGGAAAATCTTAGCGGGAACCCTGGTGAAGAGATTTCATTGCGGCAGGGTGTAGGTCAGTAGGGAGGAGAGAACTCAGGAGTGATTGAGATCTTAATTAAAGGGGACGGGGGAGGGAAATAAGCCATCCTGATAATGCAGCCACAATTCCCTAACCTATTTTCGTTACAAGGGCACCTGTTGTGACAATGATTAAATGGGAATCCTCCCCACGCCCAACCGGCGACAATTAGAGCTGAACGAGCCGCAAGGACAGTGAAAAATCAAGGGACATCACACGTCCATAATGCCGCCCAGCAAAAAGCAAGAGCAGAAATCTCAGAAAGCTG